AATTTCGTCTCATGAAATTACGTGTAACTCATGTCCAGATTTACCTACATTACTTGAAATTCACCGTAATAATTAAGAAATAGTGGGTAGAAAAGAAACAAATCCTATTTTTTAAGAGGGTTTGTTTTTCATCAACTCTGTGCTATTTTAAAATCTGTATTTGTAGTTTTGAAAAATGCTTGTAATTTAGTTGATCACATTTAATTACCTTTAAATGTATTCCCTTCTATTGGCTTCACTGGATTAACTGACTTGAAGCAAATAATTCTAGCCTTGAAACCTGAGGCACTCCTACCTGCCCAAGGTTTGAATACGTGGTTGAAAGTCAATGTGCTGTTTTTTAATATTTTTTAACAGTCAATATTCTACATATTATTTAGGAAATCTTGAATATTCTAAACATACTCCACATGTTTAGATTCTCATGTACCTTGGGATAGAGATATGTTGTGGTTATTTTGAGGGTGATACACTTGAGTAGTCTTGAATTGTGTTTTTACCCTTACTTTCTGGCTTGGAAAACAAATTTAAGTAACTATGAAAATGGGACAGTTATATTTATATAACTTAACAAATCTGGAATGATACAAAGGTTAATATACTTGGTAACAGAGCAGGATTTAAAAATCTCTTCACAAATTGAAATAATGAGTCTTAAACCAGGAATCATCACACATTTTTTGTAAAAGACCAGATAATATTTTAAATTGTTTTTAAAGTTAGAAATTGAGGTATAATGAGATAACATATTAGTTTCAGGTGTACAGCATAATAATTTGATTTTGTGTATACTGCAAAAGGAAATGCTTTAAACTTTGCCGACCATACATTCTTGTCACAGCTACTCAGCTCCACTGCTGTAGCACAAACGCAAGCATAGACAATACACAAGGGAGTGGATGTGGCTGTGAACCCATAAAATTTTATCGACAAAAAGGCATTGGCTTGGTTTTGGCCTTGGATCATTGTTTGCCGACTCCTAGTCTAAATCAGAAAGTTGATACTTGGTAGGATTATATTTGAAGCCTTCAGTGGTCACCTTTATAAATTACAAGATGATTAAAACCTGGTTTAATACTTGGATTTCAGTTGAATATATTAAACAGTATGACATGGCTGCTCCAAAAGCCAGATTCTTAGGGTCTGTCAGCTGAACTTTAACCTGATGTGTACAAATCTGATCATATTCATTTCTATTAGAGTACCACATTTTAAGATCTTGCAAACAAAAATGTCTTCAGAGGAGAATATTTAGAAAGCTGAAATATCTAGAAAGTGCATCTATAAAGAGAAACAGTTGAAAGCGTTGTTTCTAAGCTGAGGAAAAGAAGATATCAGAGGGGCTAGATAGTTGTTTTCAAATTTGTATCATGTAGATACACAGAGATTAGAATATTAGGTTTCTGGTTCCAAAGAGCCCTCCAGCACATACAGAAAGGAGCGTTTAGATCTTTATATGGATTAAGATTCTGGAGAGTAGGATGGACACTGAATTGTTAATGGTTAAATACTCAGTAGTGAGCGTTGTGATGAGAATATATGCATTGGGAGAGGGGTGGTTAGGTGTGACTAGATTTCATTACACAGGGGACTTGGAAAACAGCAACATAATTCATTGGGCTCATTTTTTTTTTATCAGCTCTTTGTGTAAGTGGAACTAAGAACTTGAGGAAATAAAATTTTCATTCTGCTGAATGATTTAAGGATATCATTTGTCATGACCAGTTTAAGTCATCTATACCACTCAAGATGTGATTCCTAATACACAAGACAACAATCACCAAAGTTAAAGAATGATTATTAATATTTGGCAAATCAATAGTTAATTGAACTTTTTATTATTACACAATTTTTTCTTTTAACTAAGGGTTTATCTCTAGCAATCACTCAGTTTTCTTGGGTGGTTATTTGGCCCAAAATACCAGGATAATAAGTTAATATTATTTATCCTTTATGTTTTGGGGTTTTTGAAACTGGATATATTAATTAGCTTGTAATCACAATACTATGATTCTGCTGCAGGATTAAAATGGAGGGGAATGGACTTGTTGAGTTTACTTAATGTACTATTTTGTGAGGGGGAAAAGATTGCCTATTTTAATTTAGCAAATGATGCTGTGCAGAAGTACCTCAGGTCTCTTCCTTATTATAATTCACTGATTCAGAATAATTCTAGGGAGAAGCCGTCTTTCTTAAGGGAAAGATGAGTTCCAGAATATCTTAAATGTCTTAAAAACTCTATTTTAAGAAAAAGACTATATGAGGTAAAGTAATAAAAAAATTATATTGCATACCACTTCACATATACTGGAAAATTACATATAATTTCAGAATTATTGTTATAAAGGCAGAGGGAAGGAATAATTAAATTCATAAACCAATAGTTTGGAAGGCTAGTAATTTTTTGATGCCTTTCTACGACTGTTGGCAAAGGAAGTGGATATTCTGAACTCAAAATAATCACAGATAACCATGGAATTGCAAAACCGTTCTCTAAATCTTAGTCTTCACTCTCTTACTTCCCCTTTTAAAAAAAATTTCTTTTGACCTTTACAGTGTATTTTAAAAAAAAGTCTGGGTAAAGCCCATAAGTTACATGAGTATTTTCCTGGGATGAGTACGATGAGATTGGCCTCTCAGTGTAGGGTGTATTTTGAAATTAGGGAACTTGAGTTGTTACCTGATTGGCTGTGCAGCTTCGCTCACTAGTTATTTTGAAAAGTGGTGCTTTTGCAAGTGGTTGGCACTTAGTAGATACCTGAACAAATGAACGGCAACATCTAATAAATCCTAAAACTCAGCTATCTTTCCTAAATAGATTGGGAGAGACTATTGACTTCTGTAGTCTAGCTGAATTGTCACTTTGGCCCGAAGATCAAGCCAGTGATGTAAGCATGTGGTGGCCACTTGACCTACCTGAATGTATAGATATAAGGAAATAAAAGAATATTCATAGACAGTTGGTTTTGCTGTACTGTTAATTGGCCTATTTCAGAATTCAATGGAATGTTGGCTGTAGCGCACCCACGTTATATTTTGACTCTTCTCCATAGTTGTGGCAATATATGATTATACAAAAGACAAGGACGACGAGCTGTCGTTCATGGAGGGCGCGATCATTTACGTGATTAAGAAGAATGATGACGGCTGGTATGAAGGGGTCTGCAACCGAGTGACTGGCCTGTTCCCGGGCAACTACGTGGAGTCAATCATGCACTATGCTGATTAAGTGCTTGCTTCTGAAGTAGGTTCTTCTCATCACTCAGTCATACTGTGGGACCATTATGGTTAACAGAATTGTCTTAAAATGTTTTAAAATGTGCCCATATTTTCAGGACATGCTGTTTTATTGGTATAATTGAATGTCTACCTGTAAGCATAAATCTTGGAGGCAGTTTGGGTATTGCTAAACAGCAATTCACACAGGAGGCTGTCTTTAACTGATTATGCTTATATACTTACTTACACATTGTTAACTTTATGACCAGCCTAAATATTCTGGGGGTGTGGGGTATACTATTTAACAAATCATGATTCAGATCGTGCCATTACATGTCTCAGTGCAGCATGGTTACTAACGCTCTGTCAGACTAATAGTAAAATCAGAAACCTTAAATGCTGGTGCTGGTCATACTTTTTGTTTAGACTCTCATTCTTGAAATATACTGTTTGTTTAAAGCATGCATACAAATTTATGTATTGAAATATACTTAAAAAAAAATCCAAGATGCTTCCAGTTTGTGTAATATTTACTTGGAGTACTCGTACTTAGGTCTCTTGAAACGAATTGAGTCTCTAAGGTCTCCATGTGAAACAAAACAAAAAAAGATTTATCTGTAATGTTGTAATTTGTACCTAAGTTTTTTAATGAGTGAATTTGCATTATAAATTTTTTCATTCATAAATACATAAGTGAACCAAAGGTTTTTGTCCTTTCCTTCACTGGTTTGCTTTAAAAAATACTAATAAATAAAAGATACTGATTTATTGCAGAATTATGGTTCTATTTTCTCAATATATTAACTTGGAAAAAAGTTTTAGCCTTACCTCAACCTGTCCCAAAAGCAGTGGCTGATTTTTACAGATTTAAAATCTGAGATGGTTATTTACAAGTCAATCTACTGAATTCCTTTTCTTAAGTCACTTTTTCAAAGCTAAGAAAATGTGTCCAAGTGCACATTCTGTAGGTAGAATTCTTGATTGCTCTATCAGTCCTTCAGTTTTCCAGGGGACTGCTGTATACTGGTTCAATGAAAGGAAATTACACTTCTCTCTTACCTATTTCTTTTTTCTAGAAGTGGATGCAACTGGTTTTTGACTAGGTACTATTTAAACTCGTTACCTGATACTAGTAACATAAAAATATTCTAAAAATAAAATAATTGGGGCAAAAAGGTGGGCCATGTATTAATCATTGAACAGGGAGGGAGATACACCTGACCAACAGATTTGTATTGGTATAATTGAAATGCAACACATGCACTTTGTGTGTCTCCTTTAATTTAAGGGTTAGAGGGATGTTTTCTCATCGTGTGTGTAACTCTCCCTTGCCTGGGATGTTAAAGTAGAATACTCCCGTGTGGGTTTCTGTGTATTGAGATTTGTTTGGATTTCAGATTACAGTTATGTACTGGGTGTTACAGACTTACAACAGCATAGTGAATGGTAAGACTAGTGCAAAACGTTTATTTCTGAAAATTAAAAGACCGTTATGGCTACCAAATCAGTGTGACTGTTGCATATGCATTTTGCCTTTGTTAATTCTAAACATGATTTCAGTACCACTAGTGATCAGCTAGCTACCTGCTTCATTTCATTTTTTTTGAGTGGATTGTTCTCTTAATTTTGTATATAACCTGTTGGCTAAATTTTATGTACAGTCTTTTATAATAAACCATTCTCCTATGAAATTTTGCATACTGTTAAAAATCTAATGTGGATTGAAATGTAGACGTCACAATTTGATGATCTTTACTTCTACGGTGAAACAAGATAAACCATTTGAATTTTAACATTGATTATTTATTTGTGTAATGGCTTTCCATGTGGATATTAACCATGTAAACAATACCACATATAACCGTCAACATACCTCGATTAGAGTTTACAGGACTAGAATGACCTTCAGATGATTTAAGTACATTTAAAAAGGTTTCTGAAAAACTTTGCCAATAAAAAAAAATCCCATTAATAAGGTGGAAATGATTTTTTAAAATGATTTTTGGTTCTCTGCACATGAAGCAAAATATATTCCACAAAATTCTGTAGGCACAGTCTGGTAAAATAGCTGCCAGAAATAACAGAAAGAGTTGTCATTTATCTCTTGTGAGCACAATTTCCGAAAGCTGGATGAGGGCCTCTCTCTCTGGGGATGGTCGAAGCTTGCTGATCTCACGTACTGCTTCATGGCTGTACCGCTGGGCGAGGTAGGTTGTCTGCTGCACACCGTCACTCTGCAGGACAGCACAAAACACAACAGAGGTGCACACGTCACCCGCTGGGATCAGCTCTCAAATTCCTGCTCTAATGAATTAAAACCTACTTTTGAGACCTGGTTAGTAAAGAGCCAAACTCTCATGTTCCCCTCCAACTCATGGCTTCCTCTCCCTACATTTTTAGGCTTCTTCTCAGACTGAAGCACATTTTTTTTCTATTACCATGCAAAGGAACAAACTCATTAATAAAGTAACCATCTATTTCCTCTTAGTTTTTTGGGGGGGGGGTAATTAGATTTATTTTTATTTAATTTTTAGCGGAGGTACTGGGGAGTGAACCCAGGACCTTGTGCATGGCTAAGCACACGCTCTACCACTGAGCTACACCCTCCCCTACTTCCCCCTATTTTTAAGTATTCGAGTTTTTTTTTTAAGTTTCTATGTATATTAAAATTTTTAAGTGAAACAACCTAAAGTGAAAGTTGAGGACATAGATACATAATACATAAAAGTATAAAAGAACTTACAATGAAAATCAACAGTTCCCTTCTTCCAAAGGCACCAAATTTATCTGTTGGTTTCAGTATTTCAATTAATAATCTGAGTTCTTAATCTGTTGCCTTTCTGCTAAGACAGACGAGGATTCAGCCCACGACCCCTCTCCTAACCTGCCCGGATTGTTGCCTTTAGTTCTTCCAGTGATGACATGTGTCATCCTGTAGCATCACGTCCGGCTTCATCCTGCGTGAGGACAGCAGCCCTCCTGTTCTTCCCCCTAAGGTAACTGTGCACTAGAGAGACTTACATTCCATTCTGTTCCATTCTGTACCCTTGTTACCCTTGTTTTCATGTTGGCTCCTTCTGAAAGCTAAACTAATAAAAAATTACTACTCCCATTATGTAAAAATGTTTACTGCAGAATCAAGACTTGTACTGTGATTTTATTTCCTTCTCTGTGGTTCCATCATTCAGAACAGAATGTAAGATCATGGTCGAAAGGCCTCTGATGTTCTATACCAAGTGACACAAAATACAACTTAAAACACGACGCATTTTAGTTTGCTCTGCCTTCCTGTACGGAAGGCCACTGCCGCATGTAACTGCCTCCTTTTCTTTGTTACCTTGACTGCTTTCCAGCTCTGCTGTGCAGCTGCCATCTCAGGAGGACTTTTCATTCAACTTGCTGGTTCGTTCCACTTGTTTTACTACCTACGTCTTTCTCTTTTGGTGTTTCCATATTTTTGTTGCAGTTTATCCACAGATAACTTACCCAGGATATGTGCATCGGAAGTCAGTTTTTTAGTTCTTAAGTGTGGTAATGACTCCTGCTTCATACTTACTGGGCGGTTGGACCAGATACAGAAGTCTAGTCGCTGCCTTCCAGGGCCCGGGGCTTTGCTCTACACTGAGCAAGCTGTCGTCTCTTTCCCTTTTGTTGGTGACTTTTTTTCTTTAACTTTTGTGTTTTGAGTCTGTTCCTTAAAATAGTTGTTACACGATTGTACTGATCTTCTTAGCTTTTCTCATTTTCTTCCACTGCTGTTTTCATTTTGGAAGACTTCCTCAGTGTCACATCCCAGCAATTCTTTGGCGTTAGTTTTTCACTTTCATTTAACATTTCTAAGGGCTTGTTCTTTGTTTTTTTAAAAATATTCTCCTGTTCTTGCTTTATGAATGCAGTATTTTTGAGTCCTGTTTTTTTCCCTGCTTCTTTCTTTGACTTGGTCTCTTTCATGCAGTGAGCTTCAGTCAACTGCTTAGCAGTCCTACTAAATAAATCCCAGTTGTCCATTCATACTTAGTGACAGAATAGGGCCTAGGAGCCCTGTCGGGGGAACGGAGCTAGAATTTACAAGTCTTTGGAGAATTTTCTTAGAGAACATTCCTGTGGATTTTCTTCCTAAGTGCATTTCTGCGCAGACTTGCTGGAACTTCACTGTTTGGCACAAGAGCTACAATTAATTTCCCTCTTTTCAGTCCCACTTCTTACTTCAGCCTCAGTAACACCTTTATTTCTGAAGCCGGAACCGCTCCCAGGTATGTCAACTCCATCAGCTCCGGCCCCCTCATGCCGAGTTTCCTATAGTACTGCCAAACTGCCCTCTAAGGGAGGGGGGTGCGTACAGCAAATTATGATGCTCAACAGTATAGTTAAAAAAAGAAATACACCCTTTGGAGAGGTTTTGCTCTGTGGAAATTTAAAAAATCTGAAAGGTAATTATTTGGGATTCTTTCAAGAATTAGGCTAACGACAGATCTCGGATCACAGCTGCTTACTAACAATTGCTCACTCCATCTCACTCGAGATCTTTTGTCTCCAAATGACTTTGGATTTGGTTTGGAAAC